ATTTGATGGTTGAAGGCATGTTTCTATTATAAAAAGTAAAAAATTAACTAAAATTCAACTTAAGTTTCGTCCGATTTTGATGGTTTAAGGCATATTTCTATTATAAAAGCAAAAAAAATCAGAAAAATTGACTAAAATTCAACATAATTTTCGTCCGATTTGATGGTTGAAGGCATGTTTCTATTATAAAAAGTAAAAAAATCAGAAAAATTGACTAAAATTCAACTTAATTTTCGTCCGATTTGATGGTTAGAGGCATGTTTTTATTATAAAAAGTAAAAAAAATCAGAAAAATTCAACTTAAGTTTCATCTGATTTGATGGTTGAAGGCATGTTTCTATTATAAAAAGCAAAAAAATCAGAAAAATTCAACTATAATTTATCTGATTTAATAGTTGAAGGTATATTTCTTTTATAAAAAGTAAAAAAATCACAAAAATCACAAAAATTCAACTTAAGTTTCATCCAATTTTGATGGTTAGAGGCATGTTTCTATTATAAAAAGTAAAAAAAATCAGTTTTATTTTTGAAAGTTAACTAAAATACAGCTTTTTCTTCGTCTGATTTTGATAGTTGAGGGCGAAAATTGACTAAAATTTAACCTAAGGTCTTTTTGTTCTTGGAACGATTTTTTTTTGGAATTTTGGTGGAATGTAAAAAGAAAAAATTTGGAAATTATTGAAATTATCTTTTAAAAAGTTAAAAAATTAAGCTTATTTATATAAATATTCCTATATATCAGAAATAAACTCAAATAGTATATATTAAATCAATATTATTTTAGCAATCAGTTAAATCCGAAAGTTCGGTTCTTAGAAATGATAAATGATAATACTATTGTCCCTAAGGAATGATAAAACCATTGTGCTTTAGGAACGATAAATGCATTGTATCTAAGGAACGATAAAATCGTTGTTCCTTAAGTATAATAATACCATTGTCCTTAAGGAACAATAAAACTATCGTTCCTTAGGAATAATAAATGCATCTTACCTAAGGAACAATAAAACCATTATTTCTTAGGTACGATAATACCATCATTACTAAGAAATAATAAAATCATTATTCTTTGAGTACGATAAAACCATTGTTCCTTAGGTATGATAATATTATCGTCTCTAAGAAATGATAAAACTATCGTCCCTAAGGAATGATAATACCATTGTCCCTAAGGAACAATAAAACTATCCTTAAGGAATGATAAATGCATCGTACCTTAGGAACGATAAAACTATCGTTTCTTAGGTACAAAAATACCATTGTCTCTAAGAAATGATAATACTATCATTCCTATAGGTATGATAAAATTGTCATACTTAAGGAATATTAATACCATCGTATCTAAGGAATAATAATACCATCATGCCTTAGGAATGATAATATTATCATTCTAAGAAACGATAATACCATTATCTCTAAGGAATGATAAAACTATCATCCCTAAGGAACGATAATACCATTGTCCCTAAAAAATGATAAAACTATCTCTAAGAAATGATAAATGCATCATATCTTAGAATGATAAAACCATCATCCTTAGGTATGATAATACCATCATTCCTAAGAAACGATAATACCATCGTCCCTAAAGAATGATAATACCATTGTCTCTAAAAAACGATAAAACCATTCCTAAAGAACGATAAATGCATCGTATCTAAGGAATGATAAAATCATCATACCTAAGGAACGATAATACCATCATACTTAAGGAACGATAATACTATCATACCTAAGGAACGATAATACCATCATCCTAAGAAATGATAATACTATTGTCTCTAAGGAATGATAAAACTATCATCTCTAAGGAACGATAAAACTATCGTCCCTAAAGAATGATAAAATCATTATCCCTAAAGAACGATAAATGCATTATACCTTAGGAATGATAATACCATCATATTTTAGATACGATAAAATTGTCATACCTAAGGAACAATAATACCATCGTTCTTTAGGTATGAGTATACCTATTGTACTAAAGAAACAGTGCAACCGTTCCAATCAGACGTCAATTGGTTATTAATAAGATAAGTCGAATTTTGATATATACCAATCGGCTATAAGTATGCCAATCAGCTATAAATAAGATAGGTTGAATTTTGGCTGATTCTTAGCTGATTTTTGATGTATATCAATCGGCTAGGCTGATTTTTGATAATTTTCCGATTTTAGAATGATTTTAGGCCAATTTAAGCTGATTTTAGGCTGATTTTTGCATGTCTGATTTTTTTGATTTCAACTAGTATATCGCTTGAACTATCACTTTAACTATCATCAGAATTATTGCTGAATCTGCCAGTAATCGTTAGTCTAAATTAATTGATATTTTTTACACACTTTCAATGTAAATTAGCATTGTTATTCTCTTCATAAATTTGTTGATCTTGAAGCTCTATTTTGACCTTTTCAATATCTTGCTGATATTTATCATCTTGTTTGTCCATTATGATATATATTGATAAACTATCTAATGTTTCTTAAGTCAAAATTGGGGTATCTTCTGTATCACTTAGAAATAGTATATCTTTTAAATTTTCAATAGAAGGAAGATTCTGATATCTATGTCTTAGTTTTATTCATAGGTCATTATTGCATGCTATTTTTGATCTTTTTCTTGATTTAGGAGATATTTTTTAATAAAAAATCGATAAAAATTAATTTTTTTTTCTTATAATCAACTGTTAGTTTATTTATAATCACTTTAGAATTGAAGTTTAAATGATTTTTCACATAAGACTTAAATTAATTAAATATTAGTTTATTCTTGTCTGATTTGATATGCTATTTTTACATCATTTAAAATTGATTTGAATCTATTTAAAAGTTTAATTTTTTATATATAAAGCAGCTCTTTTACAACTTATAATCAGACAACTTTTCATATTATTTCAAGCTCTTTTCAACTTCTAATCAGCTAACTTTTTCTGATATTATTTTACTTATATATACTTACTATGTTACATCTTGACAAATAAAGTATACTTAATAAAAAACTGGTAAATTTACGCTATCAAACCCTGATGCTACTAATGATTTTCAAGTTTTTTATCAAAATAATCTTGCAAGTAATATTCTGCCCTATAGTCGAAGTGGTTCCTCTAACAATACTCACAATGAAGTAATTTCTCTAGTAATACTTCATAACAAAGTGATTTTGCAAGTAACTTTTCATTTTCTTTACGAATTTTATTAAGATCAGAGACACTTATAAACCTCTAAAAAAGGGTACTTAATATTCAATTACCAAATACTAATTTTAAAATTGATGATAATACGACAGCCAGACCTATGTTGGTAACACTCAGTAGTACTATAAGCTGCAATAATACTTCATTAATTAATCCAAAAGAAGGTATAATATCATATAATAATATGTTAATCTAAATTTCTTTGATTCTGTATAAACTTTAATCTTGATATTTATTCAGAAATTGACAGACTTAAAGATCAAGTTGAGCAATGGAAAAGTCAGGTCAGATTCTAGCAGAACTGACATAACAATTTTGTTAAGCAGGCAAGGGAATTTCAGTCAAAATGGAATGCTTAAAGAAAGAAAACAAAGTATTAATCTATGTTAACAAAGAACTCAGAAGGAGGAGTAACGATGAATTAAGAAATGAAATTAACTAATATAAAAATAATCCTTTAGCAAATTATGATATCAATAACTTACCAGACGAATGTTCTCTCAGACTAAAAAAATTGAAGAGTAAGATGCCTGTTACCAAAATTCACAAAATAGCTATAGATAATGCGAGGGTTCATAAATTCTGACTCTTATTATAATGGTCGATTTAATTGTAACAAATTTTTTTTGAATATAAATAGAATGAAATGAAGAAAATTTTAAAGATCTTACCACCAAATTCAAAATGAAGTACGATAAGGTTTTAATAGTCAAGAAAATAAACAAATTCAACAAAAGTTAGTTCCTGAACTCTTGAGGTCATTACGCCTATGTTATGTATATCCTTCATATGTCTAAATAAAAGATTGGCTTAAGCGTTACATAAACATAGAAAATAGTTATTTGTTAATCCAGAAAGGAGAACAGGATCGCACGAATAGACTGTCTACAATAATAATCAGATAATAGAGGTACGAAATTTGTTTATACCTTGTAACATTCTAACATTTATCTAACATTTAACGTTATACTAATATCTAACATTCTAACTTTTATCGATGCTAACATCTAACTTTCTAAGTTTTATCGATACTAACATTTATATAACATTCTAACATTATACTAACATTCTAACATTTATTGACACTAACATTCAAAATGACATAACGTTCATTGTTAACATTATTCAGAAAAAGGATCGTTAAATAAGAGGTGCAAAATCTTTATTCAATACTAATGATCTACAAATCGTGAATTATAAGCAAGACGAGTTATAAAAATATTCAAGAATTCGGCATACATATCACTCCTTGGAACTATCAGAGACAGACCAGGAAGATGATGAAAAATGACTGCTGGTCATGTACGATTATTCTTGATGCTCCAATGAGGTTTGGTGATGATAATTTGTTGATGTATTTGCTTATAACGAACAACTAAAGTTTATTTTATAATTTTAGCTCAAGAAACTTTTAAGAGAAACTTTTGAAAGACAAGCACTTTCTCAACAATCGATTCAATTGTCAAGAGATCGAATTTACGATAATGATTGATATACTAAAGAATAATCACCACCTGAAGACACGCTGAACTGTACTCGTAAACAAACTCTAGACAATCGAACTTCAACAGAGAAAGCAAAAGAAAAAGCCGATAAAACCAAAGACAAGAAGAATAAAGCTAAAGAAAAAGCACCTGCCGGTAATCTTGAAATACCTGTCGGCGATTGTGAAGGTAATGCAAACTGATTTCAAGTAACTACTGGAGACTACGATGTATTTACGCTCAATTATGTACTTGAAGAAGAACAACTTCACGGAGAAAAACTAACTACAAGCATGATTAGAGGAGCCATTCGGTCAAGTCAACAGCAATATTTCGATGACGTTCCCCAATATTATTCCGACAACGAATATGACGAAGAGAGTGACGCATAGGCGATTGATCATTTTTTGTTTGCCTATTTTTTTCGTTTTTCGATTTTATTCATTTTATTTTTTTTAGAATTTTTACTATTTTTAGAGTATATTTTATATAGAACAAACTTTCGAACGTTTTAAGTATTTTTATTATATTTTATAGCAACGTTTTAACTTTTTAGTATATATATTTTATACATTCGGATAATTTTAGTATATTTTATAACAAACATTTTGAATATTTGTAGTATGCATAATAAATATATTTAGTATACTTAATAGCAACATTTAGAACATATTTTTATAAAATAAAATTTGAATGATTTTTCGCTGATATTTTGCTGGTATTTTGCCGATATTTACTAACTGTTACCCGAAAGTTAGTATAATCTCATTTTAATGTTAGATGGTTTTGTTCCATTTATTATGCTGATTCTCTAAAAATAGCCGAAAGTTATACAACATAGTGCCAATCGACTATTTTAGTGCCAACAAAAAATCGGCCAGCTTTAGGCCAAAATTGGACCTAAAGCCGGCCGATCGATTTTTAGTCGAAATATTCCGACTAGTGTTTATAAACTAGATAGGTTTGAGATGTAACTTAAGAAAGTATTGTTTTATAATTTTCTTTATGTTAATTATTAGATTTATACAAATAAATCAAATAATAAAATTAAAAAAAATGCATTAATACTTTCTAAGTATTTTGAAGCCCTAAGAAAAAAGAAAAAAATATTATCAATTTCTATGTTATAAAGCGAATCAACTGAAATAAAAAAAAAAATAAATTAAAATAATAAAACTAAATGAAAAACTTAATGAAGATAATAAGAATTAAGAAAGTGTTTATTGCATCCTGAAAAATAGAATAAAATAATAAATAATTTAAAATAAATTAATGCTATCTTACGTGATACAACCTGAAAGAATTTGCCTAAAATTACTTAAAAGTCATCTAAAAAAAAAAAAAATAGCCGGAAAAAGATTCTATTTGGATTTCGTGAAACGTACCAGTACCATTGATAACAATTAGGGATGCTAATGGTCACGGTCATGACCGGTCATAACCGGTCATAACCGTGACCGATATCGGTCGGTCAAAGGCTTCTGACCGACCGGTTGACCGAGTGACTTGACTGAAAAACCATGTTTTAAATAGTAAAAACATTTTATATTAAAATTAACAAAATCAACATTTTATTTAAATTTTGAAATTTTGAAAAAAAAATTAAAGTCCGTTATAATGCTGCGCCACTATATAAAAAGACGTAGTTTCAAAAAAATGCCATGCTAGGCAAGAATCAAAATTATAATATTTGGCTAAACTAAAATTTTCTATTAAGCCAAAACTGCTCAATTGTATTACTATTAATCAGTTGGTCAACCGGTCAGTTAAAATCGGTCAGTTAACCGGTCGGTCGGTAAAAGGCCTTTGACCGACCGTTGACCGACCACGACCGACCGTTATCATCCCTAATAACAATGATAGAATCATAATATTAGCGGGATACACATGTTCAATTGCTCAACTTGAAATGTCAGGTTTGGTTACACATATTCAGCAAAATGGTCTGTTATAATAGTGGAGTTTCAAAAAAAAAAGACCACAGATATTTTTGATACAATCATTATATTTATATGTAGTTTGATCCGAAACAAAAATCCCGAAAGACAGTTTCTGAAAACAACGTTAGACTTGCTTGCGTCTTTACATTAACCACGGAAAATTGACTTTTTTTATTTATATAGTTTAGATAGATCTATATATATGTGCGCACGCTATTTTTTAATTAGAAATCATTTTTAATAGCAAATGAGAAAAAGACTTTAATAAACAATTATATATGCGAATTCTTTTCAACAAAAATTTACAATAAAATTCATTGACAAACTGATGATTCAAATTATCAAAAATGATATAAAAGTTTCACATCATCTCCCGCAATTTCACTATTAAACTATCTATCCGAATTTACATTATGTAAAAATTAACAAATTATAAGCTTTTCAGTAATTTCAATAAATTTATGTATCTATATAATGCTACTCGATATATTTTGAGTCTTCAATTATTTCTATATTACCATGTTCGATGTTACCTCGATTCATCCTGACAGTGTTTTTTCGTATTTCTGAATTTAATTCATCAACTAATTCAAAATTTCCATGTTCAATATTACCTCGATTCATCCTGACTGTGTTTCTTCGTATTTCTGAATTTAATCCATCAACTAATCCTATATTTGCACGATCATTTCTGGAACTATCACCAACTCGATTCCTCCTTACTGTGTTTCTTCTTGATTCCAAATTCTGAAGATCATTTTTCTTGATAGAAATTATTTCTTCCAGTGCTTCATCAAGCTGGCTATTTAATTCTTTGTTAATTTCATTTAAATGACTTATTTCATTTCGCAGTTTATTCATTTCTGACAGACATTTCTCACGTAGCTGTTCAAATTTTTTTCTATGATGACTTATTACTGTTTGAGAATTCTCATGTAGATTTTCAGAATTCTCACGCAGATTTTTTATTTCCGTTTGAGAAATTTCAAGTTCATTTCGCAAACCAATTATTTTAGTTTGAGAATTTTCAATTTCATTTCGAAGATTTTTTATTTTTGTTTGAGAAATTTCAAGTTCATTTTGACAATCACGCTTTTCGTTTTTTAGTTTATGGTATTTATCCTTCCTAACAAACATATTTATCTTACTTTTCAATGTGGCTGATGCAGTTATAATGAAAATATTAATATTAAATTTAAAGGACTTAAAGATAGGCAAGGGCAATCTATTTGTCGTTAATAATAGGAATAGGTAGGTTCTTTGAGGTGTTTCAATAGTTTGTTAGATTTCCTACTTTATGCGAACACAATTGACCACTAAACCTTTATATGTTTTCGAAAATATCTATAAAGTAATAGTATTTATTCCCCCGTCAAAGGTTAAATTTTCTTCCGATAAAGGTAGGTATCCGATTGGTTCTTTCGGAACATCATAAAAAAGTATCCGTCCAAATTTCATTCACTCATTTCCTTTTTTGTCACATACTAAATTTTGATCACCATTTTTCCATTTTCGCTTCATTATCCCTTATAAAGCATGGAGATAAAAGGTTAGATTTTTTTTACAAAGGCATGCAAAAAAGGAATATACATCTCAAACGTCATTTGCGTTTCATGGGTCTTCAACTGTGCCACCGACGATTATTTTATTGCATTAATCGGTATATAAAAAAGAACGTATGTGGTTGAAATGTTGGAAAAAAATTTTTTTTAAAAAATGTGTAAATGGCCATAGAATCGATATAAAAATTACGTCATTAAAAATTTAGCGATAAAATATTGCGTAAAACAAAAAAGTTGACGCAAATTGTAAATTGTCATAATAATCAAACCATTGTATTTTTAAAATTTAATAAATTTATAGTTTTTTGAGCTGTCATCATTTTATTTAATAGAATATATTAATGATTCTATACTGGATGAATATTAGCAAAAATTCTATTTCCATATTTACAGTAAATGATATTAAAATAAAATGTTAATATTGATTTAAAAAAACTTAAAAATCCAACTCAAAAGAAATCGTCTAAAAAAGAAAAAATTAAATAAATCAAAAAACCTTTTTTTATGGAAAGCTGAAAAAAAATATAATATAAAATAATAACATATAAAAGAAAGAAAAAACTTATCTGTCGCACACTGTAAAAATCAAATCTATCAAGTCGCTACAATCCGAAGTTATCGAAGGCCAAAACTAAAAAAAAAAATTATCTAATACTTGCAAAAAAAAAAAGAAAATATTCGATTACTGCAGTACTAAGCTGTTTGATAAGGCTTTATTTCGCTATTATTTATTTTTCACATTTTTTTCTTTTAGACGAGACGATTATGCGATTTCTTTCGGGTTGGATCAGGTAAAGTTTTTTTTCTTTAATTTTAATTTTAATTTTTTTTTTACTTTTTCATTTGGGTCTCTTTAAACCGTTGTCTTATTTAGGTATTTGAATTGCTTCAGAAAGAATTAGTAAATCATTTTTGATTTTTTTTTAAATTTTATTTTTTGATTCATTTTTTTAATCTAAGGAATTGTATTACAAATATGCAGGGTAAGTGAAACCTTTTAATTGTTGACAGCTTGCATGTTGATTTATTAAATTTTGTATATAGTGAAATGAATTAAAATTCTAAAAAAGAAAAAAAAACATCTCAGGCTTATAATTAATCTCTTAAAAATTTACTCATAAAATGAAAGCTAATTTTTTTTTAATTAATTTAATATATAACAAGCATGTGAACAATGTCAGTGGAATAAGAATTAATAGAAACAAGATATACAATCAAACGATTATAGTATCTTTTCATGATCTGCCGGCACGTGAAAAAATTTTGTGGTCAAGCGTTATTAAGATTAATTAGGTCCACGATAATGAATAAATACCATCATTCCCTGCAATTTCATGTGAACATTATTTTCAATAATAATAAACCTTCTACATCTAATGTTAAGCAAAATGGTTAAGGCTTGTCAGCATTCTTATCTCTATGTCAATAAATGTTCGTATTTATTTTAATTTGACCTTTCTGTGGCCAAAATTTACATGAGCAATGAATTTATTTTTTAAAGTTTAAATTGTCAATTATAAAGTCACGATGTGATGCACAAAGTAAAATGTTCCAGATAATATTGTCTTGTAATTATGGTCCATCAATACGGTTAGCTGGTGCGACTTGTTTATGATTTACAATTGAATAGTTGGCATGTTGATTATTTGATCATATGGAAATTTACAATTCAAATCCGAGTTCGAATTATTTTTTATCGTAAACGAACCTTTCTGAATAAGATTATATCACATGTAATCAAATTTGTTATGTATTCAAATCTTTCCTCAAGACTTGCATTGTACAGTACCTACCTAAATATTGCTATGGTTAAGTTAAACTAGGGAACGGGACCGTTCTAGTCCGACATATAAAATGTAACACGATTGATTTAAATAAAATATTTCATAATTTTTATTGATTAAGATATAAAGATGTAATTTCTTTAATGTGCAGTATGAAAAGATAATAATACCAAATTTAAAATGATATCTGCAAATAATTTCAGGCAGGGTTATTTATTTATGTAACGCAAAATTTGATTCGTCCGATCAAGCGGACAGAACGACATTGCATTTGACTTCCGCTATTCTTAGGATAATTAATATAAACTAAAAACGCTTTTAGTTTTCTTATTTTTCTCAGATTCTAAAAAATATCATGACTCTATTATCAAATTCAAACTATTAGAATTAATTTTTTTTCTAAATCTATTTTATATTAATTTTTTTTTAGAGGTAGAAATATTATTCTTTTAAAACTAAATGTTATGGGTGTATGGATTAAATCTATAAGTTAATTTATATACAATAGGCTAAAATTTTATATTTATAAATCAAACAAAAATGTATACATTTAATGTTTTTCTCGCTCTAACACTTCGATTGATTCCAAATCCTATGTCTACATCAATCTATTTTTTTCATCTCAAGACTGTGGTCTTTTCTTCAACTCTCTGACACCATTGATTCCATGAAATTTTCCGGAAACAATAAATTCATACTTTTTTGGGTCTTTGAGTTGCTCCACGGAAGAAGAGATCCGGGGATGATCATGTAGGCATTCATTCCAAAGCCAAGGGGCCCTGCAGAGGTTCAAAGGTCAGAATGATGTAGGAAATATTTTTTCTAAAAAGAAAACATGACTGGACCTATATCTATTTTACCTGTTTTGTATCATTTGATCAAATATTTCAGTCATGTCACCAAAATCGTAGTGCCAATATTTTTCAGAGCGATCTCCACGGAATTCACTGTGATAATTGGCATCCAAGTTTTCTTCTGAGCCGAGCCTAAGGAACCCATATATCCTTAAACTCGCAGTGACGATCAGTGTGGCAATATAGTTAACGGTGATTGACTGATCGCTAACTATGCTAGTTACCATGATCCTATTCAAACGAAATGAATGTAAAGCTTTTGATTTCACTAAAGTGAAACCGAAAGAAAAGTTTAATATTTACCTTTTCCCTGCAGGAATAAAGATTTCACTTGTGTTGGACTCTGTCCTAGTGAAGGTTTTGGTCCGCCCATGTTTATTAAATAACTCTTGCGAGAACCCAAATCGGAGTCCAATCGAAGTTTCCCACATTTCCTTGATCCCTTGTTTATAGGAGTCCGAGATCTCCTGGTCAAAGGAGAATTTCTTTGACGATTCCCACGTCAATTGCTCGGTAACAATGTAATCAACTTTCCGGGTGATCGTGAAACTGGTAAAAAAAAATTGTTATTATTTATTAATTAACGAGGAACAGATTAATTAAGAGCCGATGCATACTCATCAGGATAAGGTCCATAAATCCTCGTGTTAATTTGGCGAGGGTTGATGTATTCAATAATTGGGTCGGACGGTACGAGGTTTTTGAACCCATGCTTAAAGTCATAGAGCATAAATGATGGTGGTCTATCATTCCAAAAACCGTCCGGCTTCATGGTGCATACCCACTTATAACCAGTTGAAGCGCGTTTGTACTGTCCGTTACCTGCAAAACGAAATTATGAATGTTATAATGGAAAAAATCACAATTAAATTAACATTTCGGCTTTTTCACTTCAAACTTTAATTAAATCAAAATCCTACCAGCCCATCCCCATCCTAAATCCGCGGCTAACTGATCGATAGGTGTAAGGGTAGAATTCATTATATTATTATATATGAATTCCATGTTTTTGCCGTTAAACGGCCTTGCACTAAGCAACCTAACGATATTCTCCTCCCAGGAGTCCGTTTCTTTTTTGCGTCTATTCCAGACGATGCTTGAAGCAGGACCTCTAGCCGCAAGGCCATAACTATCTTTGAAAGTCCTGAAATCCTCTTGGTATTCAGTAATAGTGACGTAGTCACCATTTTTGACTGCATCTCGAATGTGTTGAATTTTTTCGTCCCATAGCGTTGTACATAAGTAATCAGAAGATTCCATATTAAATATGTTCATATGATTTTGTTCCATGTTGATGCTGTCAATTAGGGCTTTTCTTCGGCGTTTTATATAAGCTTCTGAAGATGATCTTTGACGACCTGGGATAGCTTTGGTTTTAGAGTCAAAGTCCGACGTGGCGTTTTTCTTTTCACTTTTTAGTAAAACTTTGGATATGAAATGATATATTTTAGTCGATTTGAGTTAATGTAATTTGAATTTCATTTAATGATTTACTCACACTCCAATTCGGTTTCCGACATCGGAAATGTCGGTAAGTTTGTATTTACTTGGATCTGGTAATCAGACAAGATCTGATTATACAGATCATCCACATTCCTTCTAAAATCATCCATATACTGTTCCGTATATGCACGATATTGTGTAGCAAATTCTGTGTCCCTGGAAAGCAGCTAACGAAAAATCAAAATAAACTTTAACATGAGGCGCGTCGCGTGTAAACATTTATTCAAATACAATTGTATAATTACTCGATATTGAAAAACACTTCGATAATCATTCGTGATGAATGATGGAAATTTTGATGCTTTTTCATCATATTTATCCAAAATGTCAACGCGACATTTGGTTAATATCTTATCAAGACTTTTAGGTTCCCCAAGAAGCCTTGAATGAAGATTTACGACATACTTTGCTTCGAGCTGTTCACATGTCTCCGAATATTTTTCTTTGGTTGAACTTAAATATAACGCATTGATTGCCTTAAGTTCAGCGGTGTTGGATCGAATCACGTCGATAAATTTTTTGTAAATGTCATCACAAATATCACTCGGAAAACCGGCATCGGAAGACCGTTTAAAAAATTCGATCTTAATACGAACGACTAGTCTCCTTGTTTCTGATTCAAATAAAGTATCCTCGAACGGCATTTGTGATTCTGGAAACATTTTTGCAAGGTCTTCATGAAATTTTTTCTTATTCAAAAGCAAGAAGGCTCTCACCCTCTTGTTCCAAGAATTTTCATTGCATTTAGTCGGTTGCGATTTCTGGATATCTTGTAACTGATCTGATGCATCACAAGACTTTTCGTATGAGGCAACCTTGTTATTTGCCTCAGCGGTTTGAATTTCGCAGTTAATGATTTGCATTTATTTTATTAATTTAGTTTTTTTTTTTGTTTTTTTACCAATTTTCGTTAGAATTCCTGCAAATATATATAATAATGATGGATCCAAAATTAGACATTCGGAGTTCTCATCCGGAAAAAAAAGAGCAAGCCATATCACCACCTATTTGCTTATTTGCTTATAACACAAGATGAAACATTTTCAAGCGTCGAATAATCCACAAAGAATGAATTTATATGGTAAAATTACAGAAATGATTTCTACAAAGGACGAGAATATATGGATGGAAATTGATTAAATTAATCACAAAATTCAAGGATCTATCATTAAAATCTCATGAAATTTCTTCAAAAATTGCTGCAATTCCGCTTGACCTATAAACGAAGATGCATGCATTATTTGTTTGTAACTATTTTCTTTCAAAGTTTTATTTTTTTTTTTTTAAATGGTTGCTTCAATTGTCCAATTACCAAAATCAGTTCCTGGAGATTTTGTGCTGAAATCCGCAAATTTTCTGATATTGAATTCATTTTTCCGATAATTTGCATCGTTTTTCCTTTTAAGTCTGAATTTGAAATTCGAAGGTTAGTTATTCCGCGAATTAATAATTGAAATGATCAGTTTTACCCGATTAATTCATGTATTTGGTAAGATCTGCGCTTCAAAAACGTCAACCATACTGTTGGGAGAACCGAAGAATCTATAATGAGCTGCAGGTGCAACGTGAAACAAAATTTTTTTTTAATAGTTTTATTATTTCAAATGTATGACGATAAAATCCGATAATATTATTTTTAAATCATAAATGTAGGTTGTTACAACACGGAATCGTCATTACATTTACGGTGGCATACGTCAAAATTTTTCTCTGATCATTGAGAGTGATTTTAGCTACTTAGACGAATTAATCGGATGCTAATACCTTTAGCCTAGTTGGTTCATATTCATTGCTAGCACTACTTTATTGTTGTTTATTTCTCTGTGCGCTCATTTAAAGTAATTATGAATATTAATATATGGATATGCAAAACGATATTCTCTTTTGAATGGTGCATTCTTGCACTTTTGAACTCGTTGGAAATTACTCTAATCAATTATACTTGGCATCATCATTATTTTCTGTAGCGTGGATCAAAATTAAATATTATTTTAATAGGTAAAAATTTGCATCGATCTGGAATTATAGATAACTCGCTATTCCGATTACTAATACCAAAGATAAATATGATCTATGGAGTCAAATTTAAACGTTTCTTCAATTAATTGGCCTAGGTCAAAAGTAAACTCACGAAAGACTTAGAAACGAGCCAACATCCTTTTACTTTCAAACTACGATATACATTTATGGCTATCGGGATTGGAATTAAAAATCGAATAAAACTATCGAATCTGTTTTAGTGGCGTAGTATTTGTAGATAGGGCTTAATCCCCGCCACAATAAAATATATTTCTTTTGCATATTAATTAGATTTAGTAAAGTAATAATGACGGAATGATAAAAAAAAAATGGACCTATCCTACAAAAAAAAAATAAAAAAAGATCGCTGCCTGCATGAAGCAATTGAAAATAGTAATTACAATTGATATTTGTTGCTTTCTTACTTAAAGTAAAGTTATTATAAATTAAATATCATGAAATTTTATCTTTATGATTAGATCCTTCATCTTGATTTTATTTAAATTTGTTCCAGAAATTTTCCATGTTAATTTTAGACCTTGTAGATCAATTTTGGCCGTTTGTCAGTTTTAGGCCAATATACCAAATTGTCCTTGTCAAAAATATACGATGGAAATTAGACAATTGGCTATACACAGCAAACTCCTTCCTATACAATACATTCCGATTTTATTTTCTTTATTTTACTAATTTTTTTTTTCTTTTGTAATTTTAATTAATTAGCATTAATTGATTTAATAAACGGGATTTCGCAAGTATAAATAACTTTACATCAAATATGTTAATTAAAAACCTTCTACTACATTTTAAATATAATACAATTATTAGAAAATGATGCATCTATAATGATTTTATAAATGCAGGATTTTTTTTTTTTGTACTTGCAGTCCCGTCTACTAAGGAGGCTTAGATCTACGGGTAATCATATTGAATTAAAAGTTCTTATTACACCACGTAACTGGGACAGAACTTTGAGCAAGAGGTCAAGCTCTCAACGACTGCAGTGCCTAAGATTTTATCAGCCTTTTTGATGAAATTGACAAGGTAAAATGATGTGATTCATCATATATGTATTGAAGAGGACTTTTATTCATTTATTAATTTACAGCACTAACATTAGATTGTAAAGAAGAGTCAAAATATTATACATGATATTGATCGCCTTTTACCAGAATTAATTGCTGAGAATTGCGTCATATAAGACAATGACCTCATTTATCTGTTAAACATATCATTTTAACATAGTATGTATTTCATTATTATTTTATCATATACATTTTTTCTAATTTATACTAACAATTAATAATATGTGATATTGAGTAAATTGAATGGATTCAAACAGCAAATAGGCACTTCGGTGATTTCTGTAATCAATTAGTAACGTTATTGAGGATTCGGTTAGAAAGTTCAAGAAAAAAGAAGATTGTTAGTATTAATCTCTAATATTTCTTTTTTTTATTATTATTATTCTTATTATTTTAATTAATTATGGACCTACTACGAGCTCTTTACAAAAAGAAGAAATTATCACTTTCGTGAATGAGAATGAAACGGTTTGCGTGTTTTGTCAGTGGTTGAATGCCACTAATATGAATGAATTACGCGCTCAATGTTCCATGCCTTATTTATGTAAATTTATTCACCATGCAATTGCTATTAATTATTCATCAAGGGACCCGAAAAGGCCAAACCTTTGGATACATTAACGAAAAGCATCATAGTCCCATCATGAAATGGCAAAAGCTTCACCAGCAATTTACAGTTATAAATTACTTTTTTTTTATTAATATTAATTTGTATTTAGTTGGTGTTTATTGATTTTATATTTAATTTACCTATTAAAATTTCTTTATAAAATTTAAATTTTTGAATTTCGTCAAAAAAAGCATTTATTTATAATTATTAATGTTTTTTAAAAATTTTGTTAATGTCTTTAATAAAAATTTTTCGAAAATAATAAGTTATTACGAATTTTGCAACTGAATTATAATTAATTTTTTACGACTTTGTTAAGAAAATATGCAGTTACAAGATCGAAACTAATTTGTGACAAGTTTTAATTAACCATGTAACTATTTAATAAAAAATCAGCTACCCTAGTATTCCCAGTATTACCACCAAGTTTTTCATCCCCACGTGACATTTGGCCGACATTACGGCGCTAAGAAATTAAAAATTCTTTGTGTAACATTAAATAAAAATAAAAATGTCGGATAAATGTTACATGATTTACCGCATGCATTTTTTTTCTTTTTTTGCTTTCTCCAAGAATTTTTACTTCATTACGCTATATATAAAAAATTTTAATAAATCAACATGCAAGCTGCTAACAAGTCAAATGAATGGGTTGATTGGATTGAAGAATCTATCTCAAAAAAAAGTATCAAATACTACGAATATAAACAACTTAG